TTTAAATGCCTAATTCGATTAAAATTTAAAAAAGATGCAATAAAAAATAATAAATAGGGTAAAACAAAGTAATTTTTTTTATAGAAATTTGACCGATTTTTATGGTCGAATGAACTTATATAATTTATATTACTAATAAGACCACGATTTGAAAATTATATTAAATAACACAAACAAATAATAGTTTTAATTTGGTAGTTATCTTTTTATGATTTGAAATTAAAATTAAATAATGTTGGTTACTAAAATAGTATCCATGGTCTGTGGACAAACTAAATAGAAGAAAAAAAAGCAATCGAAATGAAAATCGAAAGCCTCCTAAGATTATTTTTTAAACTAACTCTATATTGTTTTCTTTTAAATGACAAGAGCAATTGATAACTTTCAAATGGAAGACAATCAAAACCTTCTGACGAACATTTTAAAGAAGCGGTACGCAAATGTACCAGAAAAATTACAACAAATTAATTCCCTTGTATCGGAATACACTAAAGGCAACGGGACCAAAATGGATTACGAAAAGGTAAATTATTCATGATGATTTGTAATCAACATTTTTTTTGGACATATTCTTTTTGTTTTCTATAGATTTTGAATGCCTTGCATGGAATGATTGCAAATGATGTACCACAAAATATTTTGCTATATTTCTTAACGACAATTCCGTTACCAAATGAAAATATTGGTAAATGTGACTCTGAGTCTGATCTTTTTAATCTTATGCAGAAATCGCGAATTACATTGCCCGAGAGGTAATTTACAGTTAGTTTTGCAGTCAGTCGTAAAAATAGTTAATTAATTTACAGTATTAATAATTCTTTGCGAAAATATTTTAATGAGTTAACCAATAATGCAATAAGGACCAATGATACGAACAAAGAAGTAAACAACGAAAAAGAAAGTGCCATTGTCAAAACAAATAATAAAAGAGATACAAGTGATAATAATGAAGATGATGTATTCGTTAAACCAAAAAGAAAATCAAAAGTATCAAGAAAAATTAATAATAGCTGTTACGGTTTGTAAATACATTTAAAAAAGACTTATCCTAATCGTAAACCATCGGAAAATTATATCCCCGCCATCTATGTCTTTCGCCTACCATTACACTAATGTTGTAATGGAAAATTCTGTAGATGGCGGTTAATCCTGAAAATAAATACCGGGGCTGTCCCGTATGGTATCCTTCAATATTAAAATTCCTTCTTTATTTTAAGACTATAATCTGGAAGACTGCAAGTCCTTATTAGACATAAGTGCACAATACGTGGTGACAAACTTTAGTGCATTGCATCAATTTTATAAACGCAAAAACGAGATGGTTTGGAATATTCTGCATACAAACCCACGCCATGAAGTCGCACAGGTTTGTTTTGCAGTTTTGAAGGATTTAAATAAAAAGCGAAAGTGGTTGAGAATGATTGATTCCAATAACGTATCAGTAGAATCTTTAAGGGACGAATTTAAAGGAGGCTTTTCGTTGATAAAAAAACTTCAAAAACCTGAGTTGGAATCGAGAATGAACTCTTTCGAAGTTACAGATGAGTTAAAAGATGCGGTGATTAAATATATCAGTTCCTAAATAAAAAATTAATTAATATTGTACGAGTTGATTTAAGATGTTTTAATAAATATTGAACAGCCCTTATATGTTGACCGAGTCTGCGTGTTAATAAACACTTCCATATTACTGTTTATTGATTGGTCCTGTCATTGGCCGACACAACAAACACTAACCAATAAACGATTTTTTGTAGTGTTCGAAAAGATGGCTGCGTTGCCGTCTCCAACACAGGTACGAATGTAAAATAATTGACGGATTTTTACAATTACTTTTTGTTACTTAAATAGAGTAATAAAATACCGTTAATTACTTCGAGTAGATCATATAATTACATGCCAAGTTGTATGGTGTCCGATTTTAAACAGTTGCAAATTATTTTTATCTTGTGACATTTCATGGGTGGTGATTTAAAATACAGATAATCGTTTATTAATTGTAAGAATCGGTTTTATTCTAAAATAATTTAAATGTTCTCAGTATGAAGACGCCAGATTTTTTTTTCAAAGTGTAGTCTGTTTCTGTAAAATGGGGCTCCCATTTTTATTAGTTGTCACTGCAGTTAACTTTTGGCCTTTTTAAATATGCCTAATTATTTTAATCAGTGGCATTCATTGTGAATAATTTAAATAAACGTGTTAAGTTCATTAATGGTTGTTATAAATTTGCTAGTTCGTAATATATCTAGACTTACAAGATATGCTTTAAATTGCAGGTAGCAGGAAAACATAGTGCCATATATGAATCATATTATAGTCTGGTAAGTGTTATATCCTTTACTTTTTATTAATTCGTCTTTAAATGAATGAACCATTAGTGCTTGTGTTGCATTTCCTTCTGAATTAAAGGATGTGGGAAATTTTAGGTGGATCCAAATGGTATTGGAACAGTTGGGGCTTTGGAAGCAGCTCGCTTTCTCAAACGTTCTGGTCTAAGTGATGTTGTACTATCGCGAATATGGGACCTATCAGATCCTGGTGCAAGAGGATGCCTGGACAAGGCTGGACTATTTGTTGCCCTTAAACTTGTATCTGTAGCACAACAAGGCAGAGATGTTAATATTGAAAATATTTTATTGGATACCCCACCTCCCAAAATGGTACGTTAACACCCAATTTAAATATTGCAGTAATGTATTATATTTTTTCTCTGTATCCTTTTTTGATAAGAGATGTCTGTGGTATATTATGTAATGCTTTATCTCCTTCCAACATTCAAATGAGGGGTTTTTCCATTTCATTTCCTGTTATTAGATAAAAGAATGTTGTAAATACTTTTATCTTATTTGAAGCTTGGAAGCAATATGAAAGAACAAATCATGGACAGATAATAAAATATACTTTTATTTTTTTTTAAGGGGGATTTGCCTTTACCAAAACCTGCAAAACCTCCCCTTCCAAGTAACACTCCCCTTATTACTTCTATTCCACCAACAGCAGGTGTTGATTGGACCATTAAGCCCAATGAAAGAGAAAAGTATGATAAACTATTTGATTCGTTAAATCCTTCAAATGGACTTATTCCTGGTAATAAGGTACACAAATATTTTTTGTGTCATTATAATGAGTAGTGTAATTAACTAAATTTTAATTTGTAAAAACTAAATATTATAAAATACGTCATTTCTTATTTTATGTAGGTCAAGGGTGTCCTTATGGACTCAAAATTGCCCCTGGAAACTCTGGGAAAAATTTGGGACCTAGCAGATCAAGACAAAGATGGAATGTTGGATAGGCACGAATTTATTGTAGTAAGTTTTTATTATTAAAATAATTTAGAATTTGATAGAATTAAGTAATACATATATATTCTGTAATAATTTTTTTAAATGTCTTTCTAAAGGCGATGCATTTAGTGTACAAGGCGTTAGAGAAGCATGCGGTGCCGAACACGCTGCCCCCCGAGCTATTGCCGCCCGCGAAAAGGAAAGGTTCTAGTACGACGGGTACTCCCATTATATCCCGCGGTTTGGATGGTATGAAGCCCGTTGTGCCTTCTCCCCCGAATGTGCCGGCGTCACATTTGCCGCCACCGGTTGCCAGGCCCCCGCCACCCAGCGTTTCCCCTCAACCGATGACGGTAGGACCAACCTGGGTTGTCACAACCGACGAAAGAGCCAAATACGACCTCTTGTTCGTCAAGAGCGACGTCGACCACGACGGATTCGTCTCGGGGGCCGAAATTAAAAACGTGTTTCTGCAGAGTGGCGTGCCCCAAGCCGTTCTTGCACATATTTGGTAGGTTATTAAAGCTTTTTTGCTTCATATCATTTTATTTTTTATTGTTAGAAATGTTTTATTTAGTTTCTAAAATGAATTGATTTTTTAGGGCTCTGTGCGATATAAAACAAAGTGGAAAATTAAATAACGAGCAGTTTGCGTTGGCTATGTGGCTAGTGGGTCGGTGTCTCAAAGGTATCGAGCCACCGCCGTCGTTGACACCTGAAATGATACCTCCTAGTTTTAGAGCAATAAAAGCTGATGGAATTGTGGTAAGTTTTATTTTACTTTTTCGCCATCATTACTTATACATAATTTAAATTAAAAATATGCCTTTTCTCTACCCATATGTCCATTTAAATGAGTCCACACCCTATATAATCAAGTTGACATATATGATAAGCGTTCCTTTGCTTTATTGCAATGTTCCCATTGTTCGTGATGTTTGTTTATTTTTAAATGTAAAACTGCTAAATGCATATCTTTATTGAGATAATCTTTCGTCTTAATTATAGTGGTTTACTTAATAATAATAATAATTAATTTGCACCATAAAAATCTTGTGTTTTACTGTATACATATTCAACTTGTTACCATTAAAGTAATGTGTGTCACATGGTGATATCTTCATAATTACATTTTTTTGTTAGGATAAAACATATTGTTTTAATATGGTAATTAAAGTTTTCGTTAAACGATAAATTTGTTACGTTGTTTGAGTAGTGACTTTTCTACCTAGGAAGGCATTTAAATAGAAGTAAAAGAACGTTAAAAGTATACTGGCTACTCCCACAAGCATAATGTGGTGATTGAAATTAAGCTTGATTTTCTTTTCTACAATGAGCCTAATGGTGCCGGCTAATTCTCTGTTTTGCCAACAGCTACGAGAAATAATTACTGTAAGTTGACGTTAAAAAGGAAACTCCTCATCCTAATTCATGTGTATTTGTAACAAATAAAATGAATAGTGGTAATAGTTTTAAAAAAGACTCACCTGTAAATATTAGAGTCTGTGAGATGGACGTCTTTAATTATTATTTTGTCCATGACGCTAATCACTATTCGATTTTTTGATTCTTCCGAAATTATTTCTGGTATTAAAACTTTGCTGTTTATTTGCCATTGGACAGGTGCGTCAGAGTTGAGATTTCTGAAAAGAGAAATATTTTTCAACCAATCTCTAAATGAGATGTTTTTACAGAATTAGGCTAAAAATAAATCGTAAAAATATTAAAATGAGCGTTCCATGCAAACAAAAATTCAAATAATAAATTTCGTTATGGTATAAGTAATTATAAGCATTTATATTTAAAGCACAGTTTGGCAAGCGAATTTTTATTTTGACCATTTTCTTAGTTAGTTAGTTTTGTTTACTTATAATTTTGTGTTAAAAGTACTTGCCCTGGACAAGTGAGAATAATTTTTTCTCCTTTCGCAGCATATATTAGTTTTCGTTTAACATCTGGATCTACAGGCGGTATTCCTTGTATTATTGAATAAATCCCTGCGGAATTATTAGCTGTTTCGATCACACGTCCGTTCCCGTCTCTTACTTCAAACACCACATCGTCGTTACAACTCTTCTGTAAAACGGTTATCATAGAAAGAAAACCCGCGATTTTTTACTCGTTTAATTTTGTACTTTGCAAAATCCTATCATTATTTCGTTTTTTCTGTTTTGCACCTCGTCTAAATATTTGATGCTGCTTGGCAGAATGTGCGACTGACATGGGATGCCTAGTTTAAATATCGTGAACAATTCAAATCCAGATCCCGATTCGTCACTTTTCTAAAGATATTAATTCAATTAATTATTAACGTTTTTGTCTTGTAATCTAAACGCGCTTGAAAACTGTTGTAATTAAGATAATATGGTGAAAGATAGTTTGTCATAAAACCATAATTTACCAATGTCTTTATTTTATTAGTGTTATCTTCGCTGTTATCAAAATAATCCCCTGAAATTACCGTACAATAACCAGTTTTAAATATTTTCCCTACTTTTCCGCATCTGCTACAGGGTGACCACTGTGACCATTCTGTATATATGTAAACATTGTGTTGTGTAATGAGTTTAGGAGGAGCCGGATGGGGATTGCTTGTAGAAGATGTTGGATAAACCTGAATTTAAAATGTCTAAACACTTAATTTTTTATCAGCATAATAACGTGTACAAAAACCTGTTCTATGTTAAGCGAGCCATCAATAACTGTTAAAAAATACGGTGACATTCCTGTTTTACCAAGAAAGCAGATATATTGACCGGTATGACTGTCTTGTAAATTATAGATTGTTAAAGCTTTGTCATCTGATGATAAAAGAACATGTTCGGTATATTCAACAGGTTGTAGTTTGTTTGTTGACTTTGGTGTCCAGTACCATTCTACGGCATCTTTTTGGGACAATTCCAGGGGACTTATGCATACTTTACAATCAAATCTAGTTTCAAACAAAAATTACATAATTTCAATGAGAGCGAAAGAATTTAATCTTAGTATTTAATTAAATAACGTCTAGTTTTTTGTTTGTTATTAACTACCTAATAGATAAACATTGGAATCCTAAAACGGCTTCGGGAGTTGCTGATCCATGATTTCCGAAACTATCTTCTTGGTCTTGCAAACAACTGTAGTACTTCTCCCATTTTTTTCTGTGTATTTTTTTGTATTCAGCATTTCTTCCAGGATATTCTGTTATATCATATCCTAAAAAATGCGTCGAACTGTCTTTTCCATATTTAGTTTTGTAATAAGCTTTTGCCTTTTCTGTAAGTTTTTGCGTCAATGTTTTACCTCTGTCTTCTATTATTGAAAAGGAAATTACTAATATAACTGCTATTTTTAAATGCATGTTTTAGTGACAGTTGATTGATTGATAATTAATTTTTATTATTAAGAAGAGCGTGTGACACTTTTTTTTAATGAAAAAAACAGAAAGCAAATAAATATTCATTTCTTTGAGAATTTGTGTAATAAAACTAAAATGTTAATGCATACAGCATTAGACAAAGAAACCAAAAAACTTTTTAAGACCTTTTCATTAGAACTTTTTTTGATTCTAGGAGAACAATAATACTACATATTCTAATCCTGAGTTAGACATGATCAGTAAAGACATAGAGGAACTATCGAGAGAAAAAATAGCATTAGAGGCAGATATTCAACAGAAAGAGGCTGATATTAAAATAAAGAATGGCGAAATTAAAAGTTTGCAGGCACGTAAAAATATTTTTATGTGTAATTTGTTTTAAAAATGGGTTCATCATACTTGTAGGTTGAATTGGATACATTAGCAGCGACACTAAAACAATTAGAAAACCAAAAAGGCGAAGCCCAAAAACGGCTTAATGACCTCAGAGCTCAGGTAATATTTTTCTTTTATTATTTATTCACAGTCAGAAGTACACGTCTTTGCTTGCTGATTTGCATTCTGTACGTATATGTCCTATATTAACGCTTTTGCTTGCCATAATACAAGTTAAATGGCATCCTTAATTAATATTAATTTATCACAAATCGTTATTTTCTGCTCGTTTATCAGTGATACGTTTTTTTAATAATTAATAAATCTGTTATTAAGTTTGAGTTTTAGTAGACTTTTAAGTTAGATTTTCGCATGTTGCATTTATTTGATTAGAGGTCGGAAGTTGACAAGGAATTGGAAGAAGTATCGAATGCTCTCGAGGAACTAAAGGAGAAGGTATGTGAAAAAGTAAATTTCGAAATTGTAGTTGTCGAAAACCAATTTTTTAAGTAGAACTAATAAAGGTCAGTATTTTTAAATAGAAAATAGTTAAAGATTCTCGAAGGATTCAAATAATAAATTTCGTTATGGTATAAGTAATTATAAGCATTTATATTTAAAGCACAGTTTNATTATATAATTAAATATAGAAACGTATAGGCAGAAATCGTTAGGTTTGATTTTTTTATTTTATATGAATTATATTCGTTGCTCTTTCCTGATTACCCCTTATATTCTTTTAAATTTGTTAAAACATTTATTCATTGCTTTGAACACATCATGTTTTATGTGTTAAAGGAGATAAGAATACTAGTTTTCCTCTCGACTGACCTTGTGTCTACTGATGGTTATTATTAGGTTTCACTATTTGTATCATCATTTTGTATTATTATATCTTATTCATGAGTTATTATCACAGTTTACAAGGAAGATGTTCAGTATTTAAAAACTTCCATGCACAATAGGTACGTAGTTGCATGTTATAAATTAATGATTTTATTGATAATAGAAACGTGTATTTTAGCCGTACGAATTATAAGTAGGTAAAACTTTAAACTTCTGTATTTAATTTAACAATTATGAATAAAACGCGGTTTTTATGAACATACATACCCACGTACAATGAAACAAAAATTTTATTGACTAAAGCATTCTGAATTCTTTGAACTTCCTTTATCTTTTTATTCGACTAACAATTATTTTATTGCCAATATATTTTGAAAATATAGGAGCTGTAGATGTAAATGGTGAAAAATACAAATTTTTAGGTGGACAAACTTAGGACTCAAGCAGCGGAACAGGCCGAGGCTGTGGCTTCGCAAGAAGCAGAACTAAATAGCAAAAAGCAGCAGTTAGAAAGTCTGAAGCAGGACGAACAAATGCTCGAACAGAGGAAGAATGAAAACGCTAAGAAATTGGAAAATCTCACTTCGAATTTACAAGAAACTCAACTCACTATCAGTCAGGTATTGAATGAATGTGAAAAGAAAACAATTATTAATGAAAATTTTATTTGTTTGTTATTTGAAGACTAGAAACCGAATTATTGCTTTTTTTTCACTAATTGAAAAATAATGGTTAACTTTCAATGTTAGTACCTTAAAATACATAAATAATTTCATATTTTGTTTTGGGATAGGTAAAAGCAATGATAACTCAATTACAAGAACAAACGCGACAAATGAACGATGCTATAACGATTTGCGACTCGGCGATCGATTCGAATGATCCTAACGTTGTTCCGGACGCATCCCTGAGGATTACACCCGATTTCCGAGGAAGTGAGTACAAAAAGATCGGCTTGACAAATGGACACATAAAACAGGTTTGCAATATTATCTTTTTTATGTAAGAAGGAATATTATATATTTTTTTTTGTTTTAGAACGGATTTCAAGAAGTGAATGACCCTTTCAGCAAACACAATGGTCCTGTAAATTTAAATTCTGATTTCCAAAACGATCCATTCAAATCAGGTAAATACCTAAATACGATTTTGTGAATTGTCAAACCGGATTTTATTTTTTTCTATTTAAATGATTTCAGATCCGTTTAAAAATAACAATGGGGTTTTTGATTCCTCACAAGATCCATTTACTGCTAACTTTTCGAATAAAAATAATGTAAGTGGCACTACACACGTTTTTCTTCATGCTTCTACTGTAAAATAATTTAATTTTTCAGAATGGATTTCAATCAGATCCATTTGATTCATTCAATACCAATGCGGATAGAAACGATCCTTTTAACGCATTTGATGGTAAAGAAGAACCCAAAAAGGTATAAACGCCTTTTTGATTGCTTAGATTTTAAATTTAATTGTCAGCAAGACATAAACATTTTATTTTGATGAATATGAACTTTAGTGTTTTAATAGTGATAATAATAAAAGAAATATGTTAACTAGGAGGAGGATAAAGATCCTTTCGGCTGCGATCCATTTGCGGTGTTACATGCACCAACGAGGGATGGTGCACCACCCCCACGACCTACCAGTCCGAGTCCCGCCCTTCCCCCTAAGAAGAGTAAGCAGCCGCCCCCGCGACCTGCTCCACCTCGACCAAACCCGCCATCTAAATTATCTCAAAATGACCCTTTTGGTTCAGCGGGTATACATGACCCCTTTTCCTCGAGTAATACCGGGGAATTTGCTGATTTCGCCGACTTCGACTCAAAGGTACGTTGAAGACAGATATAAATTATTATACGTAAGCTAAATTTTATTTATTTCGCCTCTACAATTTATATTATTTTATATTACTGATTTTCGAATTTTTATTTACTATTCGTGCTTCCAGTAATTAATGTAAATGTGGGTACAGGGATGCAACTTCTCCCTTTTTTCGCCATGTCTCAATTAATTCTTTTTCTGATTATTTATTCTAATTTGTTGATAATATACACCTTTTGTAAAAATTACTACAAAACAAGTAAGAATATATAAAAGAGGGCTGCATCCCTAGTATATGTCTAAGAACTAGAAACTTGAGGGCTAATAGGATGAAGAATAACTAAATTAAATATTTATTTAGTAAAAGAATAGCAAAAATAATTTTCTAGTTTGATTGCCCAAAAGTTTACTCATTAAATTAGACCGTTCCTTTTAGTGTTGCCACCGTACTTTTCTTTATGATCCAACAAACCCCTCCCAGAATTATCCTTTCGTCCATGAAAATGACCATGAAACAACTTACCTCAATTATGCAAGAACTGAATCGGTCTGTAGCTATTTAATTTATAATTATTCTAAGAAAAATCGCCTTTCATTGTCTTGCTTTTAAATCTACTTTACTTTTAAAATATACTTAGTTTTCTATATTAATTTGGTTTTAATTAAATATGAAAGGTGATTTTAAACTTGATTTACATTTACGTTTTATTAAAAACTAGTTTTGTTTTATTTATTTTTTTTGCAAATAGTAAGTTTGTAGTTGGACGTTTGTACCCTGGCACATGCATGAAGTATAGATTTCGCCAACCTTTTTCTTTTCAGTTGCAAATTATCAGTTGTTATTGTTCCGCAAGTATATAGTAATAGTTTGCTGTTCCATTGTATTAGCACTTCATTTGGTAGTCAGTAATACAGGAAAAAATTTTTTAGTAAAAAATATTTACATTCGATTTATTTTACAATGTTCATAAAATTCCTATTTCTATGCAAGGATTTTATGTGGTGAATTATCAGCATTTGCGTATATAATTTTTTCATTCCTAAATTCATCAAATAAGGTGTTAGCACAATGGAACCGTAATTGTTGTTAAAAAAACTGGTGCAGGTACCAGGGTTTCGTCGAAACTAACCAACCAACCTTAACGTTTGCAGCCGTAATAAAACAAAAACTATCTCTCCCTCTCAAAAACACACACATCAACAACCCCCTACGTGTGTCAAGTCTTCTCTTATCGTGTACCTAATCTCCTCAGTTCAGCGACACGTCGAGCACAAACTTTAATAATACTAATAATAAGAGCGTGTCATCGAAATATTCGGACGCAACGATTAAGAGTCTCGAATTCACGGACGATCCTTTCCGCGACTACCGCTACGAAGACCCCTTCGATATCACGTTCGACGATGAACCGGAAGAAGCCACAACAAATACGACGACGGAGGGGGACCGTCATCGTCCTATGGGAAGCCTAGAAACCCTCAAGTCAAATGTGTCCAATTTAGGCACCAGCACGTCCAGTTTAAAAACCAGAACCCCAAGCGAATCGAACGTTTCATCCCAATGGAAGATAAACACAGCACCGTGGAAAACAACTACTAACAGCACCTTAGATACTACAGATTCATGGAAGATCATAACAGAGACAGGGACTGGGACTGGGACTGGGACTTCATCGTTGCCGGACATAAACAAGTTCGATGTGAATTTTGACCCGTTCGGTCTTGATACGTCTTTCAGTAATAGTGGTAACAACAACAATAATAACAATATTAGTAAAGAGTCATCGTCGTCTTTTGATCCATTCGGATTGGATAGCGGTAGACAATCGGTGCCATTGCCCACTGCATCTGATCCTGTTGGCAGTAGAGGTGGTCGTGCTTCCGCGCCCCTAAACGCCGGCAAATTGACATTGAACGAGGACCAGCAATTGGCGTGGGCCGCCCGCGAAAGTCTGAGACTGGAGGAGACACGGAAACAACGACAGATCCAGGAAGAGGCCGATCTCGAACTGGCCATCGCGCTTAGTAAAGCCGAAAGTCAACAACAGACCTCCAAGAAATGACAGACGATATGTATGTATAACAAAACGTCTTTATTGAAAATATTAAAAATTTTTTTATAATATTTGTTTTGTTGTGTCATTGGCTTCGAATTAGTTATAAGGAACTTTGCATCATCTTTTTGTTTTTTTGCAAGATGCAAAGTTTCTTTCATGTTTTGAAAATGGAAAGTCATTTCAGTATAACATACAGCAAAGATGCGCTCTTTTTCTTAAAATGTGAATAATAATCAACTGACGTTGAACTGATAAAATTGAAATTCATTTTTAGAAAAAAAAAAAAACTACTCTTGTGAAGAACAATCTAAATCGGTGTAAAAATGTGAATTTATTGTAATAATATCCTTCTAAATTTACTGTCTTTTGCGTGGTTGCATTTTCAATTTTATAAACGTTTTTGGTGTTTATTAAAAAATTCTTATGCCACACTCGTATTACAAGAAGAAGTGTTGACAATTTTTTACTTATGAATATTAAGAATTTCTTTTCTAAATATGCATGTATTTCGCACAATTTATTCTAAATGTTTTCTTCAACCTTTTTTTGTGATGAATAGTGAAATTATATTACACTATTTAATTGAAATTGATCTAACCGATAATTCAATTGATTGAATTAATCATGTGTCTCGTTTGAAAATAATAAATAAGTCACTAATAATTCTGTGGTGGAATTTTATGCGAAAATGTCTTGCTTTACTCATGTTTTTACATGTGCAAGATGAGCCCCTTTAGTACCTATTTTATTCCTGTGAGGAAATAAATAGATGGAAAAATTAACTTTTTTTTTAAATTTATTTTTCAAGTTTGATGTATATCTTTGGTGATCTTTTAAAATGAAATGGGTGAAATAGGATTCTAAAAGAGGCTCGTCTTAAGATTAACTGACTGTACAAGTGACTTGCTGATTTATGAATTGTATAAATCGAAACATGACAAAATAATCTATAATCGTAGTTTAGTTTTAGTTTGGATGAAGGAGAGACTATATTGTAATTATTTCACGTGATATAGAGCTTGTGTTCTTCGATAAATTGCATACACATGTATAATGCAAGTTGCTTCGATATATTGTTTTTATCAAAGCATCTCTGCCTTATTTAACCAAAAATCATACAATAATAAACAATTAATCAATATGCAAACAGAAAAAAATACCTTGTGTGTAAGTACATAATAATAATAATAATAATAACAATAAGTACATAAATTAATATAATGTGTATTTTGATTTTATTTTGTTTCTTCGATGTGCAATGCTGGTGTGGACCAAAGTTAGCGCGTACACTTGTACTAAATGAAAAAAAAAAATGTGTGTTTGTATACTGTAGTTAATAGGATTTCACGGCAGGCGTGGATTGGTTGCAAACTTTTTTCCAATTTATTCTGTTGTTAGTCACAAAGAAAAACGACGAATCGTTTTGAACAATCCAGAAAAAATGGAAAAGTTTACAATCGATTTGTGTGTGTGTATGTATGTTACTGTCAATATTTTCCATTCCTCACACCACCATTTCACATATTGTTAGTTAATATGGTAAATAAATTAAAAAAAAATATATATATAAAAAA